CACACACACACTCACACACACACACACACACTCACACACATACATTATCAATACCATCCGTTTGAAATGCTCTGTTAGTGTTGCGACCTCCAGTGGTAGTGAATCAAGTTTTAATCTTATAAATAAAAATTCTTGACATACCACAGTTCTGTTAATCCCTTTCCTCCTTTTAGGAAAATCATGAACCACTTCGTTACTGTTGATTCGTTGATGACCCACACAGAAAAAAAAAAGGAAATTAGCATTAAACTTGCCCACTAGTCAGTAAAAAGTACGAAAACAACTATGATTAGATCTTCATGAATTAATCTACTTAAATATTGTAATCTCAAGCAATAATGTAAGGAATAATCATAAATTTAAACGTATTTTTGAGTAGTAATATTCAATTATTAATCTCTTTAACTGTTTCATCTTGAAATGGAATTGAAGTTCTTGTTAATAATAATAACCTAATATTTTCCACAAACCCTCTAAACGTCATTTCATTAGTTTATTTGATACACAGACGATTACAAACTGTGCAGATTGTCAGTGATTTTTCTGGCGTCTTTCACAATTCAGATTTAATTCACAATTCATTAAAAAAAAACTATTTTGCTGGTTCATATGCGTCTGAAAGACTCAGCAACTGATTTTCTTTTTTCTACCCAATAGGCTTTCTTACTACTATCTACCCAGTTAACAGTAAAATATAATTCTATATTTTTAAAACCATAATATAAACTACACATTCAACCGCTGAACTAAACGTTAGCTAGGAAAGATGATGCAGCCAATCAAACCAAGAGGAGGGCTCGTCCATATAACAGCGGTCACTGTCGTCCAATCATCGTCCGCAGAATCCGGGACCTTAGGTTTACTGACCAATCAGCGCACAAACCAATCCGCTTTCCGTGACGCGTACTGGAGCTGTCTGAAAGCTCTGGCGGGAGACAACGCTGCTTGTATTGTCTGTCAGTTTAAGTAACGGGTTTCGTGAAATAATATTTGTTTTACGTCTATATTAGTTTAACAAAACTCAAATTGAACTCAGCTGGACACACTTTCTTGTTTATCCCAACAAATGGCCAAGCAAAGCGCACGACACTGACAAGGTACGCGATACAGTACGAGACCAAACGCCATTTATTAAAATCTCTCAAATGTGACCCTGGAGTTTTCAAGTTCAAGTTTTGAGATATTTACGGTAGGACATTTACAAAATATGATCTTTACTTAATATCCTAATGATTTTTGTGGCATAAAAAAATCAATAATTTTGACCCATACAATGTATTGTTGGCTATTGCTACAAATATACCTGTGCTATTTATGACTGGTTTTGTGCTCCAGGGTCACAAATTAGTAAATGCAATGCATTACTCTAATTCCACTGTGCTACAGGGTTGCCATGTAGAAACGTTCATATTTCTGTAAAATTTTGTTAAAGTTGATCTCTGAACAACAGTATAGATTTATCAAATACAAGAAACATCCTGATGAAATGTACATAAATACAGGTCAGATCACTTTGCTTACCTGTGTGACCCAGTACTAGAAAATTACATGTAAAATGTTAAATCTGCACTTTTAATTCCAACAAAATCATACACTACTACTAGTCATGCAACCAAGGATGCATTTTTATTAAATCAAAAATACAGTAAAAACAGTAATATTGTAAAATATTATTACAAATTTAAATAAGTGTTTTCTATTAGGGCTGCAGGATAAATCGCATGCGATATTTAATGCGATTCTTGTCAGTAAAGCCGGTTCTGTAATCAGCAGTAAATTTCCATCATGTGCGTTAGTGTAAAAAAATGAAAACGTTATGGTACCAGGTTTTTGTAAAGTACCGGTGGTACCGAGTACCCGGTCAACCCGGTTCTTGATGCGCTATCGGAAAGGTGCTCAGATGCGCTCTCTTCATAAAAGCACTGAGACGTGGCGACATCAAAATGAGGAAACACATCAAACTAACAAAACACTTTAAAGACAGACACCCAGATCAAATGAAAGAGTTCAAGCAGGTAAGTTTCATTTTAATTTTGAATATTTAGATCTTCTCAGTGCTTCCCATACACTTATTTATTTGTGGCTGCTCGCCACAATATCAAAACTGACCGCCACAAATAGATTTTCCAAAAGGCTTTGACTTCATTGAATAAACATGAGCACTGCACATGTCAAAGTCGAAATCCGGTGCGGGTGCTTTTATATCGCTGTATTTCTGAAGGAAACCGAGGAAAACTATGGATGTCATTTTCATTTCATCTTGCCTGTAATGCCTGATAAAGCAGCGTTTGTGAGCACAGCGCTTATTTGATTACAGCCGTTACCGGGGAAACCTCTATCCCTCCCGATTTACAAGCGCCTCCTGCTGCCAGAGAATGAATTTGCAAATATATGCAGCCACAAATAGAGTGCAGGTCTGTGGGGAAACACCGCTTCTGTTATGAATATCATTCAATATTTTAATTTGAATGTCGGATTGAAATGAACATTGCTGTTATTAGAGTAGTTAATCGTTAGCATAAGCGCGGCTAACGCTAATATAATGAGCTTTAGAATGAAGTTTCTTTATTAACTATTTAATGCTCCTATAACTTTTTGTTAGGGTAAAGAAAAACAGGAGGACATGATGATATTTACTATTTTTACACACCAGACTTTTAAATTAATTGTGAATCTAATTTTTTTATCATGTTTTGCTTTGGTACCGAGAACCGTGGGTTTTCACTGGTATTGGTACCAAATACTGAAATTTTGGTACCGTGACAACACTAATGTGCGTGCTTTCACATGAAGCAGCATTTACTACACACAGCCATTGTTCACTGACAAGCTGCGCAAAACCACAATCATATATGTTCTGAATACAGAACCGGCTTTACTGACAAGATGCGCATTAAATATCATATGCGATTTATCGTGCAGCCCTATTTCTATTTGAATAGATTTTCAATTTTAATGTATTCCTGTCATGCAAAACTGAATTTTCAGCATAATTTCTCCAGTCTTCAGTGTCACATGATCGTTCAGAAATCATTTTAATATGCTGATTTGTTGCTCAAGAAACATTTCTCATTATTGTGTTGAAAACATTTTTGCTGCTTAATATATATTTTTGGGAATCAGTATATATTTTTTATATATTATATATTCTTATTCTTATTCTTTGATGAATAGGAAGTTTAAAAGAACATAATTTCTTTAACATCATAAATGTCAGTTATATGCAATTTAATTTTTTGTCCTTGCTGAATAAAAGTATCAATTTCTTTTTGATTTTTTTAAAAACTGGACTTGCCCCAAACTTGTGGTAGTGTATTTTGTTTTCCACAAATAAATTACGCTGAAAAAAACTTTTCAACATGAATAAAAAGTCTTCTTTCAAAAACATTAAAAATCTTAATTATTTAAAACTTTTGGCCAGTAGTGTATGTTATAGTTTTTTTTTTCTGAATAGTTGAAGGAAAAAATTGTTGTAATTACACATTATGCGGGACAGTCTGATCTTTTGCATAAACATGTGTTTGTTTTCTCTGTTATAGATCTTGAATGGAAGATTATTTACGTGGGCTCAGCAGAAAGTGAAGAGCATGATCAGACTCTTGACTCCGTCCTGGTTGGTCCAGTTCCTGCAGGCCGACATATGTTTGTGTTTCAGGTGAGATCATAACACAGATTATCATTATCAACAGTAAAAACGCAATGCTTTGCATTCGATTTAAAGGGGTCATATGATGCAATTTCAAGTTTTCCTTTCTCTTTGAAGTGTTACAAGCTCTTGGTGCATAAAGAAGATCTGTAAAGTTGCAAAGACTAAAGTCTCAAATCCAAAGAGATATTCTTTATAAAAGTTAAGAGTCAGCCACACCTACCTA